AACTTGAAATTGCCAAGTGATTTGCTAAATCAAGAACGTGTGCAACCTGCCTCTTCTAGCAAATTTGCGATACACCAAATTCTAAGTGGATAACCGGATAAAACTCTCCGATCTTCCTACGATTAAATACACAGTGAATTCGATTAATATTCGGACACTGAATATTCAAACTCTTGTAATTTTATATAAGAAAAAAGAAATCATACTCATAGTCAAACTTAGACTCGTTTCAAAGGCTGAACCCGGAAGCCTTTCAAAATGCACAATTTTTTTTTTTTTTTTTTTTGCCAATTCATTGAACTTCAAACGAATATAATAACGAAAATGTTACGATTTCTTAAATTTTCATCGTCTAAGCCTGATATTCAAAGTTCAATAAAATGACAAAAAGAAAAGTTATTATAGAAGTGTGAATAACATATATTTTGAAAGTAAAGAGTAAGCCTTAAAACGAGCCTAGATTCATCATTGTACTATTTCTCTAACAAAATTGTAACAGCTTCAATATTTGGCGTCCGAATTGTTTAAATACCCAAATGTTGATTCACTATCATTCATATATACCATTTGTTTAAAAACAGCTTTCATAATTGTTCGTGACATTCGTTTTTTAATTACTTTAAAACATTTTTATTTTACAAATTTTAACATTGTAATTAGAAGAAAAATATTACTATATATATTATAATATTATTGTATATATATATATATATATATATATATATATTATTATAAAAGAAAAATATTATTATTATACAATTTTTTTTATACAATATTTTAGAATTATTTTATATTATAATTGTAAAATTATAGAATTATTTTATATTAAATTATTATTGTATATTATATTATTATTAGATTATTATTTATATTATATTATTTTATATTAGATTATGTATAGAATTATTTTATATTATATTATTTTATATAGAATTATGTTATATTAGATTATTTTATATTATAATTGTAGAATTATATCTACAATTATATTTTAGAATTATATCTTTCTATCATTCAACTGATTGACTTTTGATTTATGGATCAATTTCTTTTTCTATCAACAGGATTTCGTGGCAATCAATGGTCCAGTTAAATTAATATCATCAGTTTCATTTAATCGAATGTATAAATTACATTCATCATTAACTCGTCTCATATTGGAAAATGCCAGTGCTTCTTTGACCCTTAACAACAAATACTTAATCGACATTGAACAAATTTAAATTTGAATTTCGATTACATTAACGAGGCTGCACCGTCCGCGACAAGCGGATTTTCGCGCACGTTTGAAAACAATGGGGATTCCCTGTTCCGCGCGATCGTTTAACGTTCGCATAACACGCGTCGCATAATTGAAAACGTTGCGTTTATCGGGCCAAACTCAATAGGCGTTGCACGGCAATCGCGGCGAGATACTAATATCCGCGGCACATGCACGAACCTCGTTGCATAACTGTATTATTAACGACAAGACAGACGGAGCGTATCTGCGCGGCGTGAATCGAAAGCGCGCGTTGCTTGTACCGTCTTTCATTTTACTCTCGCCAACTTCTGTTTCGCAGCAGAATCCCGTGTTCAGCGAGTTTCGAGAGTAATTGGTTCCTGTAAATCGCGTCTCGCTTCTAGCTTCTCAAGCATCTGATTATTCGCAGTGCACACGATGTCCAATATACGGTGTGTTTAATAAAAAAAAAAAAAAAAAAAAAACGTGGACGCCATTTCTCCGAAAGAAAAGAGATTCTTTCTTGGTGAAAAAATTTTGCACAGATCGGAAAGTACAAGGTGGAGAGGGAAGTTTGTTTGTAGCTATCGTTTTCGATTCGATGGACATACATACGTGTAAAGAAACCCTGCTGTAAAATTGAATTTCAAGGTCAACATCTCTTTTTTTTTTTTTTTTTTTTTTCTTACATTGTACTCTACTTAATACATAGATAAAGGGATTATTCTAGTGTGAATTTTTGAGAAAATCGAATTTTTTTTTTTTTTTTTTGGTATATTCTTAAAGGATATAGTTTGAAAAATAAATCTCTGTAACCTTACGTGTGAACTCCTAAAATTAACGAAGTTATGGTTGTTTGAAGGACGCGACGACCAGCATCATTGTTATCGCGATACTATACTTTAAAGGCATTTTTCTGGAAACTATGTTTCTCAAAACGGACGGTGTCCATGATATCTTAAAATATACTTGACCAATTGACTCAAAATTTTAAGTACGCATTTAGTACATGTGTGACTATAGCCCCAACCAGAATCAACCAGAAAATTTTATTTTTTATATTTCTTTGGGCTTCCGACGTTTGACAGAAACATGCAAAAATCGATAATCGAACTTCAAAGTATCGCCACTTTTTTAATTATCGACTTTCTTCTTTTTTTTTGGTACCTGCTATAGGCAAACTCATACTAATTAAGGGACATTCACGTTTTTTTATTTCCGACAAGCAGAATGGCCCGAGACGATCTTTTTTAAAAGCGACTGTGTTTGAGAGTGTGCAGTGTCACTAATTGTAACTTTTTTTGTCCCAAAAAATTTTGAAACGTCGTTGAAATACGTACAAATAAACTTTGTCACTTTGACTGCAAAAGGTGTAATAATTTCTTTGCAAAAAATTCCCTAACAAAGTTAAAAAAAATACGCACTTCACACTAGAATACCCTCCTAAAAAAAAGTTTCTTAATCATTTAACACTGCGGATGTGCGCGTTCTGACAGCGATTTCGTGGCTCTGAACGCGTGTAGAAAAGAAATAATCATATCGAATTGGAAAAATTACATTCCAAAAATGCACACGGGATCGCGCGAAGAAAAGTAATTTGTGTGTTTTCACTGAATGTGCCGTTTTAATGATTCCCGAGGCTTTCGTTGAAGTAATTCTATTATTCTTTTCGTTTCTCTATTCGCACCCTTTTGTCCCCCGTTTCGTTTTTCATAACGATTCTCCTTGCCTTCGTAACGAAAACGAACGAAATCTGCCGCGCCCAGTGGCGTGTCTCGTTAAAACGTTTACTTTCGCGCGAGCTCTTTTCAAATGAGAAGTAGTTAAAAAAAAAAGTTGAACGATTAATTTATAATTAATTATGCTTCTTCCTGCGTTGGATGATATATATATATATATATATATATATATATATATATATATATTTCGAACGTGCAACAATTGTTTTATCAATTAATTTCATTTAATTTGGCAAAAGGAAACGAAACGAAAGGAAGAAACAAAGTATGAAACAGTTTCGGCACGAATTAAGCCTTCGACATACTCCGATGACCCTATACCGAAATATGCTGGCTATGATCCAGAGCCCATTCGTGCCGCCAAACGAGTTTGATACCGACGAAACAGATTGTGAGGAACAATCGGTGCGCTGTTGCTGACGTGAAGCATTCTCGGAATGTTTCTCGCAAATTAGTGCTAAATAGGTCTCCTTTATTAATCGTCTGCAACTCGGGTACTTCTGAAAATCTTACAATTAGACAGGAAGCTTCTCAAAGTATAATTTCGAACGTGCGCGTGAGACGCTCCTCCTGTTAAGAACAAGTTTCCATTTTCACGTTCGTGATATTAGACGACAAACGCAATTAAAGGAACGAAAGTTAAACAGGGATGGAGATAAATATTCCAGGGATCGAAATTAACAAGTTTCTTTCGTTTTTTTTTTTTTTTTTCTTTTTTTTCTAAATTCTGTTCGAGCAAAATAGTATCTGTTTCTGTGGAATTTTTATTGAAGAACACTTTTTTCAATAGCGTGGAATTATTTTGAAACAACAAAAGTTCCATGAACGAGCTAAGTCGGGAACATTTAATTAAAAATCTACTTTCATATTTGTAGTGTCAATATTCACGTACAAATACTGAGAACAATTTTTAATATTGACGAACGAATTACATGTTCCTCCGTACAGGGGATTTTTTACTTTTATTTTATATTTTGCAGGTTCTATTCTGTAGCGTTTATTTTCAAGAACATTTATTTATCTGCTCTCAACGGTGCTCTTGCGACGTAGCAACATCTTTCGAAAAAGTTCTACGATCCGTAGAACTTTCCAAACAGAACCCATTTAAAAGTTTCTTAACTTTCTCAATTCCTGAGATATTCTATATATCAGCCGTGATATTTCTCAATACAACAGTAGAACATCGATTATCTGGACACCGATCGTCCGAAACGTCGATCATTCGAATTTCGATTATTCGAATACATGATTGTGTACGTATACATTTGGACTTTATGTCGAGCAATTTTTAATAGAGCGTCAAATGCCTCTGTCTTTCATTTGTACCGTGAAAACGCCATCAAAAGAAAAAGAGCGACGCCGAATATTAAAAGTAAAATATTAAATATTACTGAAAAAGTTTTAAAAAACGGGCAAAGATACATGCAATCTAGTCAAAATTAGCACTACGTTTTAAAAATTAGCGAGTCGGTTACTAGAGTTTTGAAATAACTTGGAAATTCATTGTCGAAAGAGTTATTGCCAAAAACTGAAGAATTGTCGAAAAATAATAAAATTCATAAAGGGAAACAAACAATTCTAACTATTTTCGATTGATTTCAGTATGGTATTTTTCAAAGCAAGATACCACACAAAATAGCACTTCGCAGTATCGCTATTCCTTACTTTTTTTTCCTTACAAAATACATAGCAGTTGTATTGGTAATATACAAAGGAAACATACCAACGAAACGACATTTTTGTCACAAATATCGAGTAAATATTTGTAAAGTAAATGGTAACATTTTATTTTTATCTTCACATCTCGTTACACTGTATACACGTAAATCGCATCCGAAATAAAGTTTCGGATTGACACAGGTCGAATGTTTTTTATCGTTATAATATCCTTCTCGATTCTCTCCTAAACACTCGAGCGAATCGCCGCGAGAGAGCCCCTTAGGGTAACGGTTCTCGGGACGAGCGCCACGATATCCGCGGGAAACCTTGAACGTCATGTCGAGCGGCGCGTAAAACGGAGTTGCATCGGATTGTTACAGGCGAGGAAGTGGTAACCGTGCCGCCGGCGAGCGGAGGTCAGGACAGCTGGAAAGTGCAGAGGCTCTCCTCGTTGAGCGTCGAATCGCCGTCGAGCAACCGTCGCAAAGGCTGCAGCCGTGGTCACAATCAGCTGCAGCAGCCAGCCGGCAAGCGTACGCGGCCTGCGCCGGCCTTATCCTGCAAGGCCACTGCCAAGGACGTCGTTGGCCAGTATCTCGAGTGGCCGAACAAGGAGAACACGCCCGGAAATGCCGTGAACGCCGCGGAGGGGACCGCCGAGGGGACCGCCGAGGCTCAACTCGTGGCAGACGACCGCCCCGACGACATGGGGTCAAATTTGAGCCGACACAACGGGAAAGGCCTGACCGGCCGTAGGACGCAGTCATCCGGGAATCTCTGCGAGCCAAAGGGGAAGTTGAACAGCATGGGCAAGATACTGGTGCCGTGCTCCAGCGCGCAGAGGGAGAGGTGAGCTTGATGGTTTTTTGAAAAGCCATTTATATTTAAATTTATTTATAATATGTGTAATATAAGTTAAGTTAATTGTAAATAAATTTAGATATAAATTTAAAACTCTTCAGAGAAAGTTGATATAATATAACAGTAATATACCATATAAGTTAACTTGATTATAAATAAATTTGAAACTCTTCAAGAAAGTTGACTTATATTGTATATTATTGTTATGTTATATTAACTTTTTCTGAAGAGTTTTAAATTTATATCTAAATTTGTTTGCAATTGAGTTAACTTGTATTATATATTATATTATGTTATATATTATTATCATGTTATATTAACTTTTTTGAAAAGTTTTAAATTTATTTATAATCAAGTTAACTTATATTGTATATTATTGTTATATTATGTTAACTTTTTCTGAAAAGTTTCAAATTAATATTTAAATTTATTTACAATTAAGTTAACTTGTATTATATATTATACTATATTATATATTATTATCATGTTATATTAACTTTTTCTGAAGAGTTTTAAATTTATTTATAATCAACTTAACTTATATTATATATTATTGTTATATTATATTAACTTTTTCTGAAGAATTTTAAATTTATATCTAAATTTATTTGAAATGAAGTTAACTTATATGATATATCATATTATGTTATATATTATTATATTAACTTTTTTTTGAAAAGTTTTAAATTTATTTATAATTAAGTTAACTTATATTATATATTATTATCATATTATATTAACTTTTTTTGAAAAGTTTCAAATTTATTTATAATTAAGTTAACTTATATGTTGTATATTATTATTATATTGTATTAACTTTTTCTGAAAAGCTTTAAATTTATTTATAATCAAGTTAATATATATATAATTATCATATTATATTAACTTTTTTTGAAAAGTTTTGAATTTACATTTAAATTTATTCAAATTTATTTACAATTAAGTTATAAATTTAAATTCTAGTATCTTGGGAATTTCTTTCACAGGTTTTGCACCCAACCTAATCTAACCTAACTTAAACTAACCTAAAATCATATTCTGCAAATTCATCCTTGCATTGATCAAGTTTCAATCCTTTTGCAAATCAAGTTTTTCTTCAATTTTGTTCAAAGTATTTGTGTTTTTACAAATTCGTTTTCTTAGCCATTTTATGATAAAGATACAATCCGATAGATGATAATAAAGTTGTTATTTCGAAATGAAAATTTCATTGCATATATATAATGATAAAATGACGTGGAATTAACGTGAAATATTTGTTAAATACTAAAAGTTTTTATGTAGACAAATATAGATTCACATAATATGATAATTATGACAATCTGTAGGTGATGATAGTTGCAACAGAATGATCAATAATTAAAGTCCATTAAATGTTCATGGCTTGAAGGATCAAACGAAATGTTTCTTGCGCAGAATTTCATTTTTTCTTCAATGGAGAATATGACAGTCGTTGGAAACTATGGTGGTAGAAATAATACTTCACTTTCGAGTCACCCGGTGAATTTGATTTGCAGCAAGACGAATATAATCTGTGAAAGGATTAATTTATAGTATAAGAAATGAATATCCTGTGCAAAACCTGTAGAGATTTTTTTTGTACGAAGATCACGATATGATTTTTGTTGACTTTTGCGTGTTTTCTCTCTCTCTCTCTCTCTCTCTCTCTCTCTCTCTCTCTCTCTCTCTCTCGGAGATGATTTTTACATTCGCGAGGTTTAAAGTTGGATTGGAGCATTAGCTGAAACTGATTTGGCTTCGTTGATATTTAGGTATTAGCGCGATTATAGTAGAAGTTCCCGATTATCCGGTTAACAGGTTAACACGTTAATTGCCACGGAAGTTACTAGTAATACTGGTAATACTAGAACCAATTGAAAGATTCTATTTAAACGTCATGTGATTTGGAAAATTAGATCGAAAATATAGAGCACGATTTTTTTTTCTCTCGTTCGACGCTTCGTTTTACATTTTTCATTTGTTTATACGGGAGTACAGATTGACCACTTGTATCCCGGTTGGAACCTAGCCAAGTTCGTTTGCATTTGATGACTGTTCAAATTCGATTTCCTCCCAACCGGGCACCGGATCAGAAAATTCCAATCCAGATTTTTAAACGTTATTTTTACTGTTAGCAGAATAATCTGCTCTTCGCGAAATTTTGTCTGGCAATCGCCGTGTTGACAACAATAATATTTGCTTAGAAAGCAAAGTGGCTTTTTTTTTAGTAACATTGATTTTAGATTGGACGAAAAGAAAATCACCTTTTTACTTCAATTACGTACACAACGGAATAGAGTAGCGATCGAGTAGAGTAATTAATTAATTAGTAATTAGGCGACAGAGTATTTGAGCTTCAATGTATTTGCTGCTTCTTGAGAGTCGTTATTACTAATTACTAATTGCTTCTTGTAATTTAGAAATTTTTTAGCTATTTACTTCGTAACGCGACGATCCTCACTAACGTAAGTACAAACGAGAGTAATTTATCTCGACCGAAACACAGATTAAAAAAAACACTCTCGAGTGATGTTCGATAATTTTTTTAAAATCTATTTCAAAATCAGCCGTCAATCCTGAAATTAATATAATTACACCAGAAATTAATAAAATAAAATTTGTATATTTTATATTAAATAAATTTTTATGTCAAATTATTAAATAAATTTCCTGTAGTAACTCATGTAGATGAATGAACTAAAGACGAAACTGGAGTAGGAGCTGTTACTGCTATTGGTAATCATACAAAAAATGGAAATTGTGCTCTTTTCGTAAAAATTATCAATCGTGATATGAACGTCAATAATTTATTTATTTTATAAATAATTAAATTTATTTTATAAATAATTAAATTTCATCTGCCAAATATTCTCTATCACCTTAAACGACGATGTCCAAACAACGACTGGAGATCCATAAAATTGCTCGAGGCAATTAACGACAAACGATTAATCATTTGGGATCCGACAAAGCCTCGTGTGGACGCAAAAATTTAAAATTTCGTTGACCTCTTCGCGGCGAGGGGGGAGGGATGATCGTCCACGCTTGAAGAGGATAAGTGATTTTTCGTGTTTCTAATTCCGTCGAGTTCTCCTTACCGTAGAGCCATGAACAAACAGAATTTAATTTAGCGATAAAGTCGGTGGGACTATAAAAGTTCCGAGGACATAATGGAGAGGTCAATTCGCAACGATCGATATTTTTCTCTTTTTTTTTTTTTTTTTATTATTACCCGAACCGCGTTTCTACCAAGCTTGAAGCCAGAGTGTCGATACACTGTTTGCCCAAAACACGTCGATTCTAATTAATACATATTCAACGAATATTCGGGTTTGATGTTCGGTAGATTTAACGTGTCGATTCCATCTCGGTCGGATGAACGTTCTCAATCGATTTCTACAGTTTAATGTCATTCTCCTCGAACAGAATTAAAAATACGGAAGGCATTACCAACGAAATAACTTGAGATATTAATTACATTTTGAATTATTGAAATAATAATTACAACTATTATTAAAAGTGAAAATTTAATCGTTAAAAAATAAATCGAATTACTGATTGACCCTCTTAGTACCTTGCTAATCTTTTTTTCTTTTAGGTTATCGCTCAGAAATGTCCGATTTCAGAGATATTTCTCATTTATGACATATTAATATTATTAAATTAATTAAAAATATTGACATCATTCGTTGAAATTATATGTTTTAATAAAGAAAATAGAGTGAAGATATGTAAAACGTATCTTACGATTGTTCTCCATAAATTAAAACCAGCTGTCATTTGTAAAAAAAGGGTTTCTTTCGAAGAGTTCTTTGGAAAATCCGCGAAAAAACCGATACGTCGGTACTGAGGTACTAAAAGAGTTGAAAATATTTAACCTTAAATATTTAAAAATATTGAAATTTATATTTAAGATAATTATACTTAATAATTAATAATTTAATTATAAAATAAATTTAATTTGAAATAATTATATTTAATAATTAAGAATTTAATTATAAAATAAATTTAATTTGAAATAATTATATTTAATAATTAAGAATTTAATTATATTTAAAATAATTATATTTGAAAAGTTAATTGTATGTATTTAAAAAATATTGATATTTATATTTAAAAAGTTAATGTCTAAACTTTTAGACAAATATTTTTCCGTTAACTCTAGCGATCTTAGCGAAATCGTGTTCCAAAGTTAAATTGTCCGATCTGTTAATTATTTCTTAAATAATAAACACCATGTTTCGCACTCATTAAAATGTTCAAGTATCGGCGCGCAATTTTCATTACACGCGGGTGTTCGTTAGATCGCGTCAGCACTTGATCGTCCGAATATAACTGGAATATGCTGGCGAATATGCGTGGTGTAAGTTTTATTGCATGGAAGAGATTTGCAGTCAGGACAAAAGGGGATTTCATTCGTGCGAAACTGGCGAGGAATTCGTTTCGCTCAACTATCTTTACCGCCTCATCTTCCGGATGGATTTAATTACGACGCGCTTCCGCTCTGGGGCTTTAACTCTTTTCGTGTAATGTAGTTCACAGCTTAATAAAATACATTCGTGCGCCGCCTTCGTACGGTCTGAAAGAACTGATAGAACGAAACCAGCTCGAGATAACTTCAGTTGCGTTGTAGATTTAAACAACAACGGAACAACTCTTCTCTGCACGGACCATTTGTCGAGTAAATTTCTGTGTTTTTTCTTTTTTTTTTTTTTGCTCCCTCTGTAATCGTTTCGCTGTTTCGAACAACAGTTTCAAAAAGATTAGCAATCGAAGTTTGCTTGTTATTTACGTGTACGAGGGCATTAATCTGATAATCAGAATGTAAAGAAAATTTTTTTTAAAAATATAATTAAGGAATTAAACATTTTGGTTAGAAATAACCAATTACAGTTGACCCAAAGTCTATTTCGTTGCCGATTATTATTAACGAAAGGAATCCTTTTTCAGTCGCTTGTACAGATTTTGCATTCCAAATTCACCCTTTCGTGGATCATATTCAAATCAAATTTACGTTGTTATCATTTCACAGAGCAAATTCACTCTTGTTATTTCACAGATCAGATTCACTCGTTTCCAAATCAAATTCACCATGTGGCCGACTCAGATTGTCATTTTTGTCATTTTTCGTGATTTTATTCGTGATTGATTGTCAAAAAGTCACTGATACAAATTCTCGTAGAAATTATTATCAACAATCGCGAAAATTAATAGTTTTTCTTCGCCGAGAACTGTTATAAATAATCGAAAGAAATTTCTCTCACTGATAACAATTATTAACAACGAAGAAATTTTTCTTGAAAAATTTGTGACCGAAAACATATTTCAGTTAAAAAAGAAAAGAAATAATTGTCATCCTGCGACTCTCTTCATTCTGGTTACAATAATTATAGCCCCTGGTTCTCGAATAATTTTGCGATTAATTCGTTAAATATATTTTCGTCCGCGACGTCATTTCATAGCGTGAATTTGAACTTTTACGTATGAAACGACAGGGGATACACTTCAGCGGTAATTTTCAATTATACGAATCGCGATGATGCAGGCCGTGATTTCGCGAGGTGAAATAGCGATAGCAGATTAATATATTCGTTTGGCGTTTGTAATTATACCACTGGCCTGGCATGAAAATTGCAAAATTAATTGCAAGTCGATTACTAAACACGAGCCGCCCGATGTTAACGAAGTTGAAATTAACGGGCACACGTCGATCATTTTTCCATGAGATGTTAAAAGTCTCTCGATACTTACCGATAAATGGTAAATAACTTTTCCATTTAAAATACCAATGACAAATTAATTAAAAAAAAAATTTCTCATCTATATTTTGGCGTCCATATAAAAGGAGAAAAATAAAAAAAGTCTCTGATCTATACTTTAGTGTCCATAAGAGGGAAAAAAGTGTAAGGAGCGTTCGTAAAAATTACTCCTGACTAGTCAGTTTCAAAAATTATAAATGAAAATGTAAATGATAAATGGTAAATAACTTTTCCATTTAAAATACGAATGGAAAATTAATTAAAAAAAAAAAATTTCTGATCTATACTGTGGCGTTCATAAAAGGAGAAAAATTAAAAAAAAAAAAAAAAAAGAAGTTTACAAAGCATTGGTAAAAATTACTCTGGACTAGTCAGTTTCGAAAGTTATGGATGAAAATGTAAATGATAAATGGTAAATAACTTTTCCATTTAAAATACCAATGACAAATTAATTAAAAAAAAAAATTTCTGATCTATATTTTGGCGTCCATAAAAGGAGAAAAATAAAAAAAAATCTCTGATCTATACTTTAATGTCCAGAAGAAGGAAAAAAATGTAAGGAGCGTTCGTAAAAATTACTCCTGACTAGTCAGTTTCAAAAATTATGAATGAAAATGTAAATGATAAGTGGTAAATAACTTTTTTATTTAAAATACCAATGGCAAATTAATTGAAAAAAAAAAAATTTCTGCTCTCTACTGTGGCGTCCATAAAAGAAGGAAAATTTTTAAAAAAATGTCTCTGATCTATACTTTAGTGTCCATAAAAGAAAAAAATTTCTGATCCATACTTTAGTGTCCATAAAACGAAAAAAAAAAAATTAAAAAAGAAAAAGAAAAATGTATGGAACATTGGTAAAAATTACTCCTCACTAGCCAGTTTCGAAAATTATGACTGAAAATGTTTCGAGTCGACATCCGAATTAACTGCAGAGGAGGATAATAAATACTAATAAATCATGGTTGAATCAAGGGAAACACTACTCACGAGCGGAATTAAGCGCGACGTTACCTCGTGGTGGTGCTCAGTGTTGCTCGAACAAACCAGCAACGACGGTACATATAACGTGGCATAACAGGTTAGCCGTGAGATAATTTAAAGTCCCTTTAAGGTCGGTCAGTCGCGGAACTGGGGCGGTTTCCATTAAATCCTCGTTTGCACGGAAACGGACTGCGCGAAAGAACAGGGATGAGCCGCGAGTAAAAAGGCAGAGGGAAGCGGGTTAAAAGGCCGAAAAGGCTCGAGTCTTGATCTCATTTGCGTAAGTGCTGTTGTTTAACCTATGCCAAGATGTAACAATATCGGATTGATATATGAAAGTCTCTCCCTTCTTTCATCCATTTTCCTTTATCCGGGGGAAACTATTTGAACGAAACGAATCTGCAGGAACAAACAGACTGCGTTGCGGGACATTCTTTTTTTTTTTTTTTTCACTGGGGAAAACACGAGTGACGGATTTCACTTCTCTTTGAAAGTAATGCCGATGCCATTGGGTTGGCCAAAAAGTGATTGCGTTTTTCTAATAAACGTACGACATAAAATTCAAATTGTTTAGATAAGAGGAAAAAATATCTGTATTTTGCCGTACTACTTCCGAAAAAAAGAAAAAAAGCGCCGACAAAAAAATTACATAGTATGTATGGTGAAGAAGCCTTCAAATTATATAGCAATATTGACGAGGATATCAAATTATTCTTTGTCGAAAAAGATGAGGACCTTTTTGAACGCGGAATCTTCAGGTTGCCTAAAAAGGTCGTAAAAGATAATCGAACAAAATGGTCAATATATTGTCGAACAAAGTTGTCCTTTCTCGTGAAAACTTCGCCTTTCATTTGCATTTTGGCAAAAGAACGCAGTTACTTTTTCAATCAGTATTTATAATGTGCTCTGCTTTCTCTACTTCCTAACCAATAATCTATAACCAATTTCATTCCCGATTAATTCCGCTGTTTGTTCATTCTATTTTCATCCGACCAATATCAATTACTTTGCAAATTCTTTTCGTTACATTGCACGAAGCAGCGGGACTCGGATTCCGGAATACAAACTCTCTCATTGCAATCACAAATAACGAACGCGCGGGATATTAAAAAAAATTATTAGAAGCGCGCCGTAATCTCACGACTCGATTAAAAATCCCTGGTCGATTTCAGAGCGTGTAACTTGTTCGTATAAATCGTCGAAGTATTCAAGATTTGGGTTTCTTACTATTATCTTAGATAATAAGATTAATCTTACCCCTAAAACTACAAGTTAATCTAAACCTACGACCGAGTCCCAATACCACAATATTATGAAATACGTAAATACATAACAATTAAATTAAACACACAACAATGAAAACAGAGGATAGAAATAATTAAATAGAAAAAAATACTATGTGAAACACTTTGTTCATTAAATGCAGATACGAATTGCATACGTCTAGCAGTGAAAATCTCTGGTTCACGTGTTTTGCTTGTCGCTCGTCAGAGTTATGAAACATCTAATAAGCAACTAGAACAGATTTATTGGATCACCCGTTTTATAAAACTCGGCGAAAACTTACGTTTAATTACGATGATAGATGAAGAATAATAACGTTCAGGTTGTTAGGATCCTGTGCGTTGATGAAGTTTGGAAAATTAATTTCAGAGCCGGGGCACGTGGAGGATATTACTTCACGCATGAAAGCGTGTGACTTTGTATCGTAATTGAATCAGATTTTCATAAAATTTGCAGAATTTAATTAACGCGAAATTACGAACGCGATAAAAAAAAGATTTTTTTAAATTTTCGTATTTTCTCTCTCTCCCCTCCTCCGTGAAGAGAATTTCGTAAATTAAAAATTGTATTTCCTTTGGTTGGACAATTTAGAGTTCCTTCGCCTCGTGGATGAAACAGATAAAAGACAGCTTTTTCTTTTTTCTTTTTTTTTTCTTTTCAATCTCAAACTGAGTCTCCGTTTCTCCCGTTGGAGAAAATTCACTCGTCTAGGTACACACGTGCCATCTAGGAAAGTGAACAAACTTCGAACAAGCTACGTAAATCATGCAAACATCAATGCGTTCTCGTAACATTTGCTTTTCTCGTTTAAAGGGCTCGGATTAGACAGCATTCGTTGCTTGAATTAGGCAATTGGCGGCCTTTTCACGTCGCAGGTAAAGGAAACGTGAACCATATTCGCAACACGTTACATATTCTTATTGGAACACTGACATTCGTAGGTTTATAAAATGTTTTCAATGTCGCTGATAGTTGGAATTCTCACGGATGAGATGAAATAAAACATTTGCATAAAGGTGCAGCTAACATCGAGATAAATATTTGAGCAGAACGAAAAGATAATTGAGACAGTGAAAATTCTGTAAAAATTTTGAACGATAATAAAGTTAGTTTGTGGATTGTAATAAAACCCTAAAAACAAATAAATTTGTATAAATTTATAATAATAAATCTGCACGAATCTAAATGAATCTCTATAAATTTTGATAGCAGATTCACACGTACGTATTTCACGAAATTAAATCTGAAATTAAATCAAATAACATGTAATTCTCGTTTTAAATCGAGACGAATCCTCCGTTTTTTTCTTTTTTTTTTTTTTCCTTTTGCATCGCGGTGAATATTCAGAGCGAGTGAATACTCTGCTCCTTTACAGATATAAATTCTGTGGCTCGTTGCCCAATCATCTGGACGACAAGGACGTGCTGGACGACGATCCGAAGGAAAATAATAACGTGATGACGGATACCATCGCGGGGAATCTTGGTGGAACGTTGCCGCACAAGAAACGATCGTTGGGCGTGCATTTCTCCGACGGGGGGCCAACTGGGACTCTGGACCTCGTGAAACATCGATCGCAAGATTCTCTCGACGAGAACGATCCTTGGAGGTATGCCATCGCTCATTCTTCCCTAGATTATGCTCTTAGCGGTGTACGCGTAAATCAAAGCTAGACGAAGTGTCCTGTTCCCGATTACGAAAGAATTTGCGTCATCTGGTAGAATTTAGGAACAGCGGAAATTAAGAACGAAGGAGATTAGAGTTCGTGTTATAATAATATTAATAAAAGTAATATTCCTATGCATTTACGTAGCTCTGCGTTACAGTTGTGCGTAGTGTAGAGATGTAATTGAAGGGATAATTTCACACATGGAGTAAATACTTGAAGTAGAGCGCTTGTTGTGTATAATTTATATACTATAATGATTGTTATTATTAATAATCATTGTTTATATTATTTAATATTATTATATGATATTAAATATTGTTATATTATTAATATTTAATAATATCATAAATATTATATTATTATATAGTTATACTATATTATTATTAATAATCATTATTTATATTATTTAATACTATATAATATTAAATATTGTTATATTATTAATATTTAATAATATCAAATATTATATTATTATATAATATTAAATATTATTATATTATTAATATTTAATAATATCATAAATATTATATTATTATATAGTTATACTATATTATTATTAATAATCATTATTTATATTATTTAATATTATATGATATTAAATATTGTTATATTATTAATATTTAATAATATCATAAATATTATATTATATAGTTATGTTATATTATCATTAATAATTATTTATATTATTTAACATTATATTATAATAATAATATATTATCTAATATTACTTATAATAATTTAGAAAATAAAATAAATCGTTACATACGTCGATTGCACGAAAATTCAGTCGAATCGGAATGGTCGACAATTGTATCGAAGTCTCCAAGATTGACCGCTATTATTCTATATACCCATGGCTCTCAACGTGGGGCTCAGTTTGATTTTCTAGAGAGCCAATTCGTGAATGAGAAAGAATTTGTTTAATGAAAGTTTGACTCTCTAATTTTCTTTTGAAATGTCTAGTTCTTTAGAAGCCTGTTTCGAAGTTACACGTTTTCGAATAATAAGAATTATGTGTCGCAGGGGTGAGGGAGCGGGATTTTAGAGATGCTTAAGCGAGGCATGGCCAGAAAAAAAGTTTGAGAACCCCTGTTCTACGCTCTAATATTCTGCCAAAAGAAATGTGAATATTTTGCACGTACAAAAATAGACACACTGGCAAAACGAAAATGAAAAAAAAAAAAAAAAGAAATTCAATCGAAAGCTAATCGAATTAATCGGTAATTAATCAGAGTAATTGTACGATTGTTGCAGGTACCAGCAGAGCGACCTTGACCTGGTGAGATTCCGTCACGGGAATTTCGACTCGGTGAGAAGGAATCGTAGCGCCGAGACAACGTCCGACTCGTCGACGAGAAGGTACACCCGTGGCACGTCCATGGAGGACAGATGCCACCGGAACTCCGATCTCGACCTGGTGGGCACGCTGCCGAAACGGAAGCAGGACGGTAGAAACGGCGGGAAGCCGTCGGACACGAACTCCTCGTCGACCACCTCGCAGCCGTGCGTGCCCGACCCGACAGAGAACGATCTGCTGATGCAGATCGTGCACAAGCCCGACTGCGAGTTAGTCAGGCATCGGCAACAGCTTAGCAAGTGCATCGATTTGAAGTTGAGCAAACTGGCCGGCGGGGAACCGCAGGATCAAGGTTATGCCTCCGAGCGGTCTCCCGAGGACGAGCATCCGCCATCGTTGCCTGGACAACCGTTCCCCAACATAACGCCTGGTGAGTTTCAATTTTTCCATCCTCCATTGTGTCTGGTGCTGGCTTCGTACACTCTCGTACGAGCTCCTCTACTTATTTCAAATATTTGGAATTTTTGTCGAATTACTCTTGTTTTTTTTTTTTGTGTTGAAGTTTAACTTCAATCCGAGGACTATTAAGTTGATTAAATTAGGCTTGACGGAAGAGTAACATCAGCAGTTGTCTGGAAAATTTTCTTAATTCAGCGAATCGACGTCCATTTTCTTTATTTCTGACTACGTTCAAAATATGAAACTCGAAACGAAATTATGTTTACGAACCTTGAAACAAAATTCATAATCGACGGTACATTAAAATAATTTAAAAAGGAAAGCGGAATTTTTGTCAAGTTGATTAAATTAGGCTTGATGAAAGAGTAAAAAAATCAGCAGTTACGTTTCCTGAAAAATTTTCTTAATTCAGCGAATCAACGTCCATTTTCTTTATTTCTGACTACGTTCAAAATATGAAACTCGAAACGAAATTACGTTTACGAACCTTGAAACAAAATTCATAATCGACGGTACATTAAAATAATTTAAAAAGGAAAGCGGAATTTTTGTCAAGTTGATTAAATTAGGCTTGATGAAAGAGTAAAAAAATCAGCAGTTACGTTT